GGGCCAGGGGAGCCCCGGCCTGGCATCACCCACTGCTGGCACCCACCCACGCTGGGGAGCTCAGTGCTGGATTTGGCCCAAGCTAAGTCCTGGTCTCAGCATCAGCCGTCCCTGGGACCTGGGACAGGGGATGCTCCAGCCACCTCCTGCCCACGGGAGCTGAGTGTGGCAGGGGGGGGGGCAGGTGGGTTGTGCCTGCTGGGGGCTGCCCCCGTCCCCTTTCTGCGACCCACTCCCCTCCCTTTCGCCTCCCAGTTCAACGAGAAGGCGAAGCCGGTGTCATGCTTCAAGCACCTGGTGCAGGCCAACATCCGAAACAAGAAGGTCTTCAAGGAGGACGTGCAGGGGATGGTGCCCAAGGGCTCCACCGACTACAAGGCTGGCTTTGAGTACGCCTTCGACCAGCTGCAGAACGTGAGCTGGGGGCTGGGCTGCAGGCTGGGGCGGGGGGGCAGATTGCACCCATGGGTGCCGGGGGCAATGGGAGAGCTCTGAGCACCCGGCTGCTGCCCCACACCTGGGGCTTCAGCATGCAGAGGGCTCGTTGTCCTCCTTTGCAATGCTGGGGGGGACATCCCACCCCCCGGCACGCCATAGCTGAGGTTTTGCTGAAGCCGCTGTCCCTCTGGGTTATTAAAAGTTAGCAGGGTTATGTGGAGGGGGCTGGATCCAGACAGACACCGTGCCAGAGTCAAAATAAAGATGAATGGCGCTATTAGGTGCCGAGCGGCAATAGCCACATCATTTCCAAGCAGACAGCGTCCCTCCTCCTGCCCGTTCACCCTGGCCACCCTCACCCCGGAGAAACAGGCTGGGAAAAGAGACAGGTTGGGGCCGGCCCTCCTGGCCGCATCCAGCCTTGCAACCGGTGCCGCTTGCTCTGAGTCCGGCCTCAGGCGCCGTCTCTCTGTCCCGCAGTCCAACATCACACGTGCCAACTGCAACAAGATGATCATGATGTTCACGGATGGCGGCGAGGACCGGGTGCAGGATGTCTTTGAGAAGTACAACTGGCCCAATAAGACGGTGAGGGGCTGTGGGGCCGTGTGCCAGGCTGGGGCCTCTCGCCAAGGAGGGAGACGGCTGCTTAAGCTCCATTGCTAGCTTCTGCCTCATTTGCCTCATCGCCATCCTTTGTCCCCGACAGCCTGCTCCTGCACCAAGCCGCTGCCCTGGTAATGGGATGGCTGACGCACCGGTGCTATTTATAGCTGGCTCCTTGGTGTGCGAGAGGCACGGGACCACATGCCCCACGGGCTGCCAGGGAGGGGATCGGCCTGGTGGGCTTCCCGAACGCCGGCTCTGGTGGGAGCACACCCCAGGACAGGGCTGCTGGTGGGCAAATGAACCAGCAGGAGGGTCGCCACTGCTGCCCAGGACCTGGAGACCAGTGCAGTGGGAGGGTTCTGGTCCATGCAGGACCGTCAGAGAGCACAGACCCCTCTGGGTACAGTGATGCCCCAGCATGAGGACCCCTGGGGTAGGTGGCTTGGGCCAACGCAATGATGCTGGGGAACAGGACTGGCCAGGGCCAGGCAAGGAGAGAAGGGATCCCTTGCTGCCAGCACAGCCACCACTCTCGAGAACCGCCTTCTGCCCACTTGCACTTGGCTGCGGGCAGCACGGTCTGTGGGCCATGGCAGGCGATGCCACGCTGTCCCCGGGGAGGTTGCCATCAGCCAGAAGCACCGGGTGTGGAAGAGCAGGGTGCCCGGCAGACGGCCCTCACCACCGCACTCTGCCGCAGGTGCGGGTCTTCACCTTCTCCGTCGGGCAACACAACTATGACGTGACCCCGCTGCAGTGGATGGCCTGCGCCAACAAAGGTGAGCGGGGCTGGCACCCAGCGAGCATGGGGGGCTGTAGGGTGCTGGGCTCACCCCTCGCACGGCGGCTGGCACCGGTGCTCCCATGCAAGGTGCTGGCTGCAACCCTGGAGGGCTGGACAGCAGGAGAGCCAGACTGCCGGACAAGCAGCCAGCCAGCTTGCCAGCTGCCTTTCTCTTTCTTTTCCAAGGTTACTACTTTGAAATCCCCTCCATCGGCGCCATCCGCATCAACACGCAGGT